CTTGCATAGTGAGCCAAAGTTTATAACATGGGTAAATATGGTATATTTCAGGATAGTGGACACACACTTGGGCCAACCTCAAGGATAAAATAGAAACAAAGAATAAAAGAATATTCCTAAGCGGAGCAGGCTTGTTCTAATATAGTTGTGCAAAGGATAGTTGATGATCATATAAATTACATGGTTAGAGCTAGATCTAAGTGTAAGATGGGTCAAGAGGCCACCAAGTACTGGTCTGCTAGCAACCTCATGTGACAATTTAGACTCCTACACCCTACCCGAACGTGGGGGATTACGAAGGACGGACAGGGCTGTCACCACCTGCCACCTACCCCTCAACCGTGGAGTAGGAAATGCATTCACCTGTCCCTATGTAACTGGGCACCACGCCCGATTACACAGAAACTACCCACATCCCCCCGGGACTCTAACCCTATAGATCGACAAGCATAGGACATGGGCACACCCGAAGGCATGATGAACCGCCACCTCAACTTAGCTCTACTTCTAATCATATAAGTCATGTGAATGATTAAGCATAAAGTTCTACATGTTAAGCTCATGACATAGAAACTATATGCTAGTTCATATATCAAGATTATATCATGAAGACTATACTCTAATTCAATAGCACAACTATATTGATAATATGAGAGCAAAACTTTGAAAGATTTCTTCATAATATTCATACCAAAGATCCTTTCTTCCAAGGAGCCAAGCTCTCCTTGATAGCTCTTACTAGCTCCAAAATACTACTAAAATGTAAAAGAATACAAGAATGTGGTAGTGAGGTGTAGAGCCCAAATGAGGTGTGTGTGGGAGAGAGTTCCACCCTCCTATTTATACAACCTGCAGGTCAGTTTGGGTGTAGGTAAATTAGGAAACCACCATGAACCGCCTATGCATGCCGCCATGCAACCGCTAGAGAAGAGTGGGGCCGAGCGGAGCTGGGGGCGGAGCGGCCACACCCTGGGCTGGCCCACTCGCCACCGCCTTGCTCTAGTACGTTCCTGGCTGGGCCTGGGTGGCTCCCACATCGGTGCTTGGCCCAGGTTTGGCATGTAGGTGGGCTTTCTCCTTTTATTCCTTTGCGTATTTCTCCTTTACGCTTTTCGAGTTGCACCTTTTGTCTTGTTTTCCACTTGTATTCAAATATACGTCCTGCAAAACATGATTCTTCCAATACAAGTGGAACTATGTCAATAATAAATGCATGTGTCATAAGTTTGTTTATTTCTCCTGTTTTGGATCTTAATTGGCGGTTGGATTTGGTCGTTAAGGACCGCCAACAGTCAAAGGTGGTCGGAATATCGACCCATCTCATACGAGGTGGTGTAGCGGTTACCGTGATGTAGACGCCTCCGAGCGCCAACTCCTGGTCTCGCTGATCTTGGTGAGTCTCAAGTCCGCCAAAGATGATCATGACACGCTTGGCATCCCAAACTTAGTTGTTGCTCCTATGCCTCTTGTCCTTGTTCGGGAGATCCCCTCTTGCTGCCTTCTCTTCATTGGCGAGCATCCTTTGTAAATGATGCAGCCTTTGGTGGGGTGGGCCACCAGAAAGCCATGGTTTTGGCATGGACTGTTCATGATCTGGTCGAACTTGTCATGGCTGCTTTGTTTCTTCTTGTGGCTAGTGCTTTGGCCCTTGCGCTTGCGATCCTTCTTCGTTATCCGGGATGGCCCGGTCCTGTTAGGGGGAATCTTGACAGTCTGGTGGAGATGCCAGGTGTGAATGGCCGCAAAAGCTATGTTAAGGAGGTACTCCCAACTGAACATACAGAAGTCTTCTTCAGCTTAGCGGTTCATGTGGTGGGCTAGTTCGACTGGCCCGGCCTCCATGGCATCTTCAAGTCTGGCAAGGAAGGGGCGGACAAAGGATGGCTGCTCCTCCTCTTGTAAGTATGGCTTGGGATCTTGCAGATGCAAGTTCCCAAGCTGATCAGCAACGAAGGCCATGCGGTTGAAGGCGATCTTGTTGTCCGTCTGCACCTGGTTGACGTCATCGTGGATCCTAGTGACGAGGCCCATTTGAAACATAACAAATCTGCACGCAAAAGGCCCCTACCTAGCGTGCCATCCGTCGGAAGATTTAGCTCCGACAATACCTATCAGCATATTCACATACAAAGATTCAGATGGGTAGCACACAAGACAGAGTTTATACTGGTTCAAGCATGTGGTGCCCTACGTCCAGTTTAGTCGTAAACCATGCGACTTGTTTAGGGAGCTTGTTTTGTGGTGTTTTAGTCGAGGCAAAGTAGTGGCTATTAGAATTATCTTTTATACTAATTGCCCTTGACTAGTGTGTTTGTCTTTGAAGAGAAATTTTTTATATGCTATTCAAAGCCCCTACCCCTTTCTCTCTATCCATCTAGATCTTTTTAACCGCCACGTCCTCTGCACACTCCATGGAGACCTCCTTCTGCCACACTGGTGTATTACCTGTCCGTCCCCCACCTCAACCTTTAATTTCCCTCTACACACGTGACCCCTTGCCTCCTCCACCGCCCGCGCCTGACCCCTCCTGCTCCCAGGGGTACGGCGCCGTGGGCATTGCCGCGCTCACCACCATGTGCCTGGGCCTTTCAGACCTCAACCTCTCCAATGGGGGTCGACCGCAACGACTGAGCTGAATAGTCCCAGGACCACACAAGTTTTCTTATTGAATTGGTTGAACTTTAGCCCTTGATCCAGACTCATGTCTAAAGCTTACCTGTCTAGAGTTTAGTCCTTAAATTCAGTCGACTAAGCTTTACACCATGGGATCCAAATAGAACCTAATAGTTGCCAACCACCTATTAGTAACTTATTTGTAGGTGCATCATAACGGTCAACCGGACACCTGCTGATATAGCTAGCTCATATTTAGTAGCTACTCTCTCTCTCTCCCAGAAAACTGGATGTTTTAGGATTCAAAAATCTGTCCTAAAAACTTGATGTTTTGGCTCTTGGAACTAGTTGGGGCTCATATTCGCTTGGGATTGTGATCCACGTATCTCTATACATTCCCTTTTATTAGGGGCTTATTTCTTAATTAGAATGGGATCACCTTCAATAAACTGGGCTATATAGGTAATTTCAATTGAGCACTAATCTATTCTAAATAAAAAATCTAAAACACCATGTTTTTTTTATGGAGAGTACTAACTATTAGATAGCTAACTATTGTGCCAGTGGATCCAAACGTACTAGCTAACACAACAGGTCGAATCCACCCAGTAGTCTGAATCCTCGTACTAGCTGCACACATCAATTGCTTTTGCTGGAATCATATTCCCTGTGTCGTGTTAAACAAGTTTCCAAAAAAAACAATGGGAAGAATCTAGTTCCGACCTCCAAGCCTCTTGCACTCGGTTCTGTGTGTTGCCCCTTTTTTTTAAGAATATTCGACGCCATTCTTTCAGGCATTATGGTCAGAAAAATAAGACAGCATCTGCAGTGCACTGGACTGGATTTATTTTTCTTTATTTTTTTTTCAAAATGTAGATGCTCATGTGACTAGGTTAGACCGCTAGTTCTGAGATTGACGAAGTCAGTCTCGCTGTCCACCTATACGTTGCCTACCTGTAGCTCGGTTCGCTACTCGATTTATTATTTATTATAGGAGTAGAGCAATCATCTGTTCTTCTCTTGGTTGCGTATGATAAACAGCATGTACTACCTAATGTAACTAAGGATCCCACCGATAAAAGAATGTACTGCACTAGTTTGCGGTGGCTCATCCACGCCAAGAACTAACGGTCTTCATTAATATGTTTATTCGTAGCGTAAAATGTCCGAGGCCTGCTTTACGAATTACCATTAACATCAAAATTGTGCAGGTTTCCACGGTGTGTTTGTCACAAATTTAGGCAATTTCAGTATCATTTTTAATCCAGAAAAAGATTAAAAACAAGTTTATGGCCTCAGATATGTACACGTGTGATTCAAGTGTCATGTACATTTACTTGATACTAATCATCATGATTTTAATCATAAAAAACAAATGACTGGTTGCAACAGCATACCCAGCGTCACCAAAGCTGACGCTAGTTGATATAGCGGTTGTCAATGTAGTCGGCCCGCTCGATGCCGTGCAGTAATGTTACAATGCCGATCACCCCAAGTCGTCGGGGAAGTAGCAGGAAGATGAACAAATGAACGAGCAGTCGCGTGAAGACGCTCCCCAAAAATCTGATTGCCGGTCTTCACCCGAGCAGATGAACTCGCGAATGGCGCCGGTTTCAGAGGCCTGCTCTCTCTATTCTTGTGCGCGCAGGAACCGGGACGGGAATGACAGAGAGCAGCACAACAGCAGCGTGGCGGTGTTGTGGCTATATGTTATCTTCTCTCTTCTCACTCGTGAACAGGAGAAAGAGTGCCCCTTTTATGCAGCAACAAAGGAAGACGAAGCTGAAGAGCTAGGCGCATAAAGAGTTAATGGCCATCATGTCATTGTCCGTTACAAGTAACTTATGAAACCAACAAATGAATTGTCTCTTATTAGTAACGGAAACCACTCTGACACCATGAACCACTAAATCATGATGCACCAACACGTAATGGTCGTCATCCACTTAACCCTCATCAAACCATAAGTTACACCACTGATGGAACCAACAAATTACACTAGCATTAACTTTGATCTTGGAGTTTCATTTGATTTAATTGCTGAATAAAAATTGGACAAACCCAATTAAATCCAACAGTGTTGTACAGAACGTAAATTCAGCACCAGCAGCATGGAAGAACCTGATGCAATGCAACCGATTGATGGAAAAAAAATACGGCTGCAAAACATATTCTGGAAGATGGCAGGAGAAGTGCATAATGATTAGGCTACGCGAAGCGATGGGTTTACAAAATACTAGCCGTGCCAGAAGACAACAAGGCTGAGCAAGAAATTGTCCAACTAGGTTACATCATTCTGTTTGAATGGTACTGGGACAATATGGGAATCATCATGTCTCCGTTACAATCCTGCTCTTTAGTCCTTATTCGGAGAGCAGATCAAAGGACTATTGTTCCCAATTCTGCTGCAAAACAAGGGTGATGATGCAAGCGATCGTGGAACCAAATGCAAGTACAAACTTGTGGCTTTTAGTTTTAGCCGTTGGTAGACTAGCCTGCGAGGACGCTGGCACCGGTGCAGTCCTGGAAGTGGAACAGTCTTGCCCCGTATTCTCACCGCAGATGAGAGGATTCCCGACAACGCTGCAAGAAAACCATGAGCAGAAAAAACTTAAATCTAAAACTTTGTGAAAATCTCAGACAGGAACAGGTGGATTACAGCCTTACTAGAGTGTCCCTGCAAACGATCTCCGTATCTGTCCGCTCAAGTTATTAAAGGACAAGTCTCTGGAAAGACAAGAGTGCAAGCACACCGAGTACAAATTAAACCAAGCTGTAGCTACTTAAAGAACGCAGCAAGGTAGAAATGGCACATGCCACAGCGCTCACTCACAAGTACCGGAGGCTTTCAAGGTGGACCACAGAGGAAGGGATTTCACCATACAAGTGGTTGCTGGAGAGGTTGAGTTCCATGAGCCTCCCAAGCCTGCCAATCTCTGGAGGGATTGTCCCGGTTATGTGGTTTTTCTCCAGCAAACTGTGGACACAGATGGATACAATGAAAGGCTAGCCCTCACAGTCAGAAAGGGGGAAAGGAACTCAGCTGGACACAAAGGCTACCATCTACCATATCCATGAGACCATGAGAACTGATAGGAAGGAACATAACACTCACAGAATCTCGAGATTCGTCAAGTTTCCTATGCTTGGTGAGAGGCGGCCGGATAGCTTCTGGCTTGGAGCTTCCCTGCCAAATGTTCCAGGACGGAGCCACACAACAGCCATGGGGAGAACTTCACGGATGGTGAAAACAAACCGAGAGGAAACGGGTGTGCAGCTCGCTTACAGGCTGGTGACAAGATTCTGTGTTGAGCAGGAGACAGATCTCCCGCACGAGTGAGCTGACCGCTCACTGTTGTTGCCGACCATACATACTACCACTAGAGGTAGAAGAAGGAAGGAAGAACAAAGCACACACACAAAGCACAAGCACCAGCGTTGGCCGGAGCTCTGCAGAGTAGATAACAAAAACTGAACTCGCTCACTTTACTGAGTTGCAGTGTGAAGCTATATATACAACTCTACCCATCTAATCCTAGTACACAGACATGTCAGGCTGTCAGGCTGCTACAGTGACTAGATGTGACAGCAGGGCTGACTTTGACGCATGCCCTTGCTGTTGGCTACAGTGCGGCAGGGGAGCCTTTCGGCGCTTACCCCTGCCGCGGCTACAGTGCCGCAGAAGGGAGCCCTTTCGGCGCCTGTCCCTGCCGCGCGTTCAGAAATGGGAGAGCAGCAAATTACTTTACAATTCTTCTCCTAATTATGCTGCTAACCCTAGAACCTCCACCATGCCGATCATCTTCTTCAGCTCCGTGAACCGAAGACAGACGAGCGACTTGGTGAGGACGTCCGCGAGTTGCTGACCAGTTTCGACGAACTCGATGACGATCTGCCCTCCATCGACACAGTCCCTGAGGAAGTAGAACTTGATGTCGATGTGCTTGCTCCGGTCGTGGAGAACCGGATTCTTCGCGAGGGCAATGGCGGGTTAGTTGTCCACCATCAATGCTGGTGGGTGAGCTTTCACACCGGTCAGCTCACCCAGTAGCCAGAGCAGCCACACAGCTTGGCACGCCGCTGTGGCCACCGCCACGTACTCTGTCTCGCACATGGACAGCGCCACCACCTTCTGTTTCAGCGACAGCCATGAGATTGGAGCCGACCCGAGGAAGACGAGCACGTCAGAGGTGCTCTGCCGTCCGTCGATGTCCCCCGCCATGTCTGCATCGCTGAACACAGTGAGCTGCAGCCCAATTCCACCGGTCTTGGGGAAGACGATCCCTGATCCACCGTCCCCTCGACGTAGTGCAGCAGCTGCTTCACCACGGCCCAGTGATCCTCTCGGGGATCCTCCATTAAGCGGCTGACGTAGCCTACGGTGACCGCAATGTCCGGACTCATGTGGACTAGGTAGCGCAGACCATCGACGATGCTCTGGTAGAGTGTTGCATCTACCCTCCCCGCGGTACTGGCCTTCGTCAGCTTCAGCTGCTCCTCCATCAGAGTCACGCACGGCTTGCACTCAGCCATGCCACTCTGCTCCAACAGCTTTGAGGCATACGCGCTCTGACCGAGCGTGAGCGCCTCCTTCCCCTGTCTCACCTCGATGCCGAGGTAGTAGGAGAGCGCGCCGAGATCGCTCATTTGAAAACGAGCCGCCATCTCATGCTTAAAGCTGTCGATGTTCTCCGCATGCGCGCTGGTGATGATCAAGTCGTCCACATACACGCCATCGATGAGCTTCTCCTTTCCCCGTCGCCACGTGTAGAGCGCGTGCTCGGTTACGCACCGCGTGAACCCAAGCTCGCCCAACGTGGCGTCAAGCTTGGCGTTCTATGCTCACGAGGCCTGCCGCAGCCCGTAGAGCGCCTTGCGCAGTCAGAGCACCCTGTGCTCCGCTCCTTTGACGGTGAAACCCGGAGGTTGCCTGACGAAGACCGTCTCCATCAGCTCGCCATTGAGGAAGGTCAATTTTACATCCAGGTGATGGACACGCCAGTCCTTTGCTGTTGCCAAAGCCAGCAGCAGTCGGATAGACTCCATGCGCGCTACCAGCGCAAAGACTTCCTCAAAGTCGTTGCCCTCGCGCTGGACAAAGCCTCGGGCGACGAGGCACGCCTTGTGATTGATAATGGCGTCGCGCTTGTCCTGCTTGACCTTGTACACCCACTTCAGGCCGATCGGACGGCAACCTGGAGGTGGATCGACGAGCTCCGAAGTCTCGTTTTCCTCGATCGCATTCATCTCCTCTAGCATCGCCCGTCACCAATTTGCACTATTGAGAAGTAGCTCTGGGTCATTGACCAGCCGACCTGCTAGGCCTGAGGATCCTGAGCCTCGACGATGTCGTACAGCCTACGGAACCGCACCTCCTCACCATCGTGGAAAGCATCCATGAACTATGTGATGTCGCTTGGAGGTGAGAAGAACTCGATCGGCATCGATGGAGTCCCCTATTTCGCCGGAGTGGTCGACACAGCACCTGAAGTGCTCGACACCCCGGCTGCAGTGCTCGGCACTACTCCTAGACCACTCGTCACCACTCCTGGAGTGGTTGATACCACTATAGGAGTGCTCGGCATTAGTCTTGGAGTGGTCGGCACCATTGCAAGACCTCTCCACTCCGCTATGGGAGCGTTCGGCACCTGTCCTAGAGTGGTTGGCACCACTGCAGGACTGCTCGGCACCACTCCTGGAGTGCTCGGCACTGCCCTAGGAGTGCTCAGCTCTGTTGCTAGAATGGTCAGCACCTCCTCTCCAGCGTCTCCACCACCGTGGATGACCAAGTGCTCAATGACGAAGGTGCTGGTGAAGCCCCCAGCTTCCCCTATGCCTAGACTATCCCAGTCCTAGGCCACCTTCTCATCGAACATGATGTTGCGCGAGACAACCACCTTGCCTCCATGTGGGTCATAGAGCCAGTACGCCTTGGTACCTTCCTCGTAGCCCAAGAGCACAATCGGTGTGCTCCTGTCCTCCAGCTTGGTGAGGACTGGCTTCGTCTTCCTGATGTGGCTGATGTAGCCAAATGTTCAGAGGAAAGACATGCTTGGCTTGCGCCCATACCAAGCTTCGAACGGCGTCACGTCCTTCAGGGCCTTTGTGGGCGCGTGGTTGAGGATGAACACCGCCGTGGTCACCGCCTCACCCCAGAACCTTGCCGGCATGCTCTTGGCCATCATCATGGATCGAGCCATGCCAACCACCATCTGGTTCCACCGCTCTACCATGCCATTCCGCTGTGGCGAGTATGGCACGGTGTGGTGTCGCACCACACCCTGATCTGAGCAGCACGCAGCGAACTCCACCAAAGTGAGTTTGTCACCACGATCAGTTCAGAGCACGCGCAGCTTCTTGCCGCTCTCTGCCTCCGCAAGCGCCTTGAAGTTCTTGATCACCTCCACCACCTCGTCCTTGCTCGTCAGAAGTTGCAGCCACATATAGCGACTACAATCATCCACGAGCAGGAGGAAGTACCGCCGACCACCGTTTGTGGCTGGCATGATTGGCCCACAGAGATCACCGTGGACGAGCTCGAGAGCATCTATAGCGCGATACTTGGCAAACTTTGGGAATGACAGCCTCCTCTGCTTCCCGGCCAGGCAGCTGTCACACAGCTCACCTACGTGCTTGATGTGGGGCAGCCCTCGGACCATCTTCTCCAGCTGACCGAGCGCGTCGAAGCTGAGATGGCCAAACGGGGCATGCCACAGCCATGGCTCCTCGGTGTGCCATGCTACCAGGCACACCGGTTGCTCCACCTTCAAGTTGAGCAGGTACAGTAGGTTCTGGAACCTCTTCACCTTGGCAAGAAGGCACTGCTCCTGGTCCCTGATCTTGAGGACGCCATCCTTGATCAGTACCTCACTGCCATGCTCATCCAGCTGGCCAATGTTGATGATGCTTGAACACAGCTATGGGATATAATATACATCCGTCAGTGCACGGTGTTCACCGTTCTAGCACCTAAAGATGATGGTGACGTGCCCTCGAATTGCCACCCTTGAGCCATCACCAAACTTCACCATGTCGGTCATGTTGCCGTCGAGCTCGAAGAAGGCTTCCTTGGAGCCCGTCATGTGGTTGCTAGTGCCGGAGTCCAGGTACCACCACTGCTCCTACTCGCCGCCCACACATCCGACGTGGATTTGGGCGCGTGATTCGTCAAGGTTGACAGCCTTCAGAGCCTTGCTGTGCCTTTCCACCACCATCACCTCTCTCTTCTCCTTAGCCTCAATGTCGTGCAGTGCATAGAATGTCGCCATCAGGATAGTGGCCTCATCATCCTCATCAGCCTACGCTAAATGAGCCTCAGCCTTCTTATCTCTTGCTTACGATTTAGGCACTCCTTTGTCCAATGGCCCGTCTTCCCGCAGCACCGGTAGGCATTGGGGTTGACCTTCTTCTTCTTCTCCTCTGAAGAAGCCTTGCCATGGCGCTTGCCATCGCCACCGTGACTAGAGGAAGCTTCCCCGAACTTCTTCTCCTTCATCCGAGCAGCCCACTCCTCCTCTGTCAGTAGCAGCTTGACACTGTCTGTCGTTGCTGTGGCCTGCTCCATGCGCTCGTCCACCACCCGTAGATGGCCTATCACATCTTCAATGGTGAGGGTGGACAAGTCCAGTATCATCTCTATGGAGAGAGCGATCTAGATGTACTTCCCCGATACAGAGTGAAGGTACTTGGAGACCGCCTCTTTTTCGTCGATGGTGATGCCGTCGCTCCTCAGTTTGCTGATGAGAGATTGTAGGCGGAGAGAGAAGTTCTCCACCAACTCACCATCCTTGAACTTGAGGTTGGCGTACTCCTGCTTCAGCAGCTGGGCCGTCGCCTTCTTTACGCGGTCGAAGCCGACGCGCATTGCTACAATGGCCTCCCATGCCTCCTTAGCAGAGTTCTTCGCCCCCAACGACTCCCTGTACTCCGTTGGCACAGCAGCAAGGATAACCTCCAACGCTGACATGTCGTCTTATTCGTTGTCGGTACCTTTGTCAATGGCATTCTAGAGCCATCGGGCTCTGAGCTTGACCTTCATGGTCACCGCCCACTCACCATAGTTGGTGCAAGTCAGCGTCGGCCAATAGGTGCTGCTGACCTCCCGCACCGTGCACACGACGACCTCCTGTTGTGGCTGGGCAGCCACAGCAGCGTCGCCGCTGTTGCCCATCTCCAAACTGTCCATCATCGCCAGCGATTAGTCCGGCGATGGTGCTTGTACGGCT